AGAGAAAGAGAGAAAGAAAGACAAATGGATCCTTTTCACAATTCGTCCCCATCAAACCTGTCTCTTCCTTCATCACATTAGAGACATAAGTTACACTTGCAAAATATATAAAGAAAAATATAGGGTTACTTGATGACGATATAGTACTGCAGCCTGACAGCTGTCTGCAAATACTTTCACCATGATTATCCTTACTAAAAGTAACCCACTGGGTAAAGATAGCTCAAACGTGACAAGGCTCAAATAGGATGCAACCAACTCTATCCTGAATACTTTTGGCTACATATGGAAAAAAAAGAGAGGTTTGAGATTACGATTGTTCCCCCAGGCCCTCCTCCAGAACCCTAAGACCAAGCAGAAAAGTGTGTACCTTCCTTCCATGCAGATTTTGTTAGGAGACTGGCTTTGAGAGTTAGTGAGGTAGAAATGAGTCAACTTTGTCAGGGAATGAGACAGAAAAAAGCAGCTTATTTCTCCTTCCAAATACTGCACCAAAAATAATAAATAGTACAAAACAATCTCAGTTCCTTGTAATCAATCGAAATTCTTGCTGTGGAGCTTGGGTTTTCTATGAACCAGCAAACGCTTTTGCCTTTGAAGAACTTGAGTATTGTGGGGTTTCAAAAACTTCGAATAATGAATGTAGTCTCCAAATGTGAAAGGGAATTTGATTAGAACGAAGTATAATTCGCTCATGGCAGCGTGTTTCACAGTGCGCTTGTTGGGGGAGGGAACGACACTTTTTTTTTTAGCCCAATGCAAAGCAATCGTATCAAAATATAAGCTTCCATTAGGGGCCACAAAAGATCATGCATTCCTGTTTATCTAAATAGAAAAAACCCACCCCAACCCTGCTGAGTTTATATAGGTGTTTAAGCCTCTCTACCGCCTGCCAGCTCTAAGAAGACTGACTGCAGGAAAGTTCAAAGTTCAGCACTGGCAGATCTAAAAACAGATTTGTGGGGTAGCTCTTCAGCACCGTGCTTTCTGTGCCGAGGTAAACCGATACTGTTCCGATTAAATAGCAACGCTGCACAAAGGAGGTCAGGCATTGTGTGTGGCTCTGCGCTGGCATCCCACCCAGGCACCTCTGCCATCACTCCTTCTCGGAGGCCGAGAGCTTCTTTGGGAGTCACAGGGGGTTTGGAAAACACCCAGAGGAGAACAAAGCCACCATAACAAACAAACACACACATGTACAACGATAGACATCGTACAACACACAAACAGTGCAAAACATTGTAATAGGGGAATTGAATTTCCCCTCTTTTAGGACACGGAGTAGCAGCACACCTGTGATAACTTAGAAACCAGTTAAATAAACCACAAAGCAGAAGTAGTCTACTGTTGGCACCATGAAATGAAATACTGTGGGTGGGAGGTTTGGTTTGTTTTCAGAAATTTAAAAAAAAAAAAAAATCGGAACTATAAATAGATTTTGTGGCAATATATACAGATTTAAATAATTAACTTAAATATCTTACACCTACTCTTGCATAAAACTCTCCAGTAAAAGTGCACCATGTTTGTTTTCCCCAAACGTCTTCTGCGTCTTCCCCTGTGCTGAGGTAGGTCTGAAGGGAGATGTCTCAGATTCTAGGAAGAAAATGTGTCACTGTCATTGTGGGAGATACTTTATTGCCTTTCTTTGTTCTTCCGTTTTTGCTCAGGGCTATGTACATCCTGGGATAAATCCTGGATTCGTAAGCATTGTAGTTGTTTGGCAGAAGAATCTCTTTGAATTTGCACTCATCATTGAAATGGGTCTGAAATGAAAAGGAAAGAATGAGAGGGAAGGAATTTTAAACATCAGGTGTGGAAATATTCTTGCTACCAGGTGTAGAAGGTGTGCTGCAGGGAAATGTGCAGCTGACATTCCCCCCCCACACACCTTTAGTAACCTTTTGAAGTGGTCACCCAAACGAAGCTTCAAACAGGACTCGGGAGTCAGCGGGTCGCTAAGGATGCTGTGTCCAGGCCAGGAGGGAAGGACACCCATAGCTATGTCTGCGCTCCCGAAGGAGAGGGGCACATTTTAACAGAGTTGGGGTGGGGTAAGGCCCAAGTCCAGGTCTGCTGCTGGGTTCACCTAAGTGCTCAGTGGTTGTCCTACCAACAATAAATTGCCTGAGAGGCTTCAAAAAAATCTGAATGCTAACCATTTCTCATGTCGCTTGAGGAGAAAGCATTTTAAAGACACTCAGGGTGGACAATATTTTCTGTTTCTTTAGATTTAAAATTGAAGAAAGTGTTTGCATTCATTTATGTTAATGGATCAGGAAAACAGAGCTGGCAAAAGGCACCCTTCCAGTGAAGATGTTTCATTTGCAGGTAAGTACAAAGAGGATCAGGTGTTACAAGAGTATTATCTGGAGAGTAACAAATTAATTTATCTCTTGTTACTGGCCAAAAGCCTGGCTTTTTTTAAGATATGTCTCAGTATGCCAAGCTGAACATTGCACTGGGATTTACTTTATCCAGAACACCAAGGCTGCAGTCTTCCTAAGAAATGATGCAAAGGGAGCCCTTGCACTTTGGGGACTGATTCTACCTGGATTTTATATATGTCAAAATCCTCTGTTACAGAACTGATGCCCCAGAAATAATTCTGGATGCTTCATGTCTTCATGTCAAAATGCCCTAGTTAACTCTGACATAGTTAGGTGCTTCCTCAGCCCAAGTTTCTTCAAAGCATACTTGAGAAACATGAAATAACAAAGCCATGGGTAAGGAAGGAGACCCAGGAACATGGGTTTGAAATCATGCTGACCACAGTAACTTACACAGAGGTGAACTCAAAAGCAGGAGGGCAGCTCAACATGGGCCAAGACATGCTGGTTTTGTCCACCTCAACTATATTTGATAAGATGCTCCTGTCTTTTCCAACGATTAAATGTAAAAAAAAAGATCTGTATTGTCTCCTAATAGCTCTGTCTTCTTATCAATAGAAGTCCAGACGCTGAGGATACTGTCATGGGAGCAGACTCTCCAATCAAGAGTACTAACGAAGTGATCAATAGGTATGTGACAGGCACCGGTCCATCACATCATAAAGGTTCGTTTGTGGGGGCCTGGCTGATCACAAGTTCAGGTGCCCTCTGAGCGATGGAGTGAGCGATCACCGAATCTGTTTAAGGCCGTTTGTACCTATAAGAAAGGCATGGACTGAGGCTAGCTTGAGGTCTTGCCACACAAATGCCTACTCTGTTGGTCGGTGTGGTAGGCAAGATGGGTAGTCATGGTTGGGTGACTATAGTTTTTATGGGGGATTCAAGGAAGTGTAATGCAAAAGGGTGGGGTTCACTTTGAAATCCCAGGAAGCAGAACACGTGGGCAGCGCATCTTCTGTCGGCAAGGCAGCAAGGGCTGCTCTATGTTGCCTGACCCAGAAGGGGCAAGGGTGGGGCTTGGGCAGCTTTTAGCATCATGCACACCTCTCACCCCGGCTGACTGACCATGGTCCCCTCCCCAGACACACACCCCTCCCAGTGACTACTTACAGATCCATAGAGTTTGCCTTTGCTGTTCATGGCCACGAAGAGTCCGCTTCTAACACCAAATATGCTCACCACACCTCTTTCCACGGGGGAGATTTCCAGCAGACCTAGAGAGGAGACACAGGAATCAGGGGAACAAAGGGCTGTGCAGTGCGGGTGCTGCACTCACCCAGAGGCACCCCGTCCCAGTGTGGTGTGGATCCCCATGCCCCAGCATGTGGGTGGCCGCAGAACCCCAGCTCCATGTGTTGCCCCACGCTGGGACCTCTCTTCTTATAGCTAATTATCTATTTTTACTTTGCCCCCAGGCATCCTCCTGGGTAGAGATGGTTAAAATAAGCCAGAGCGTGCATGGGGCGAATGAAACATTTGTCATCACGCGGCTTATATCCCCCGCTCCCGGATCTTATTGTTTCAGTTGGATATCAGAGGCAGAGGGCCACGGGGGTGAAGTCCCCGACAGATGCTTTTCAAGTTTAGGGGGTTCTCCCCGGCACCTGCTCAGAGTGGGCGGCCCACGGGACCGCGGTTCCTCCAGATGTTGAAGCA